GTATCATGTGCACCAATAATTTTGCTTATTTGTCTCTGTTTTGACAGGTGATGTTTAAATTGTGACTTTTAAGTAAGTACGAGAATCTGTCCCGTCCGGGTTCTGTACTTTACTGAGAAAATGTTATCCTAAATATAACATGTGTTACATTTGACCACTTTCTTAATGGCATTGTGTGTTTATATTTCTCTATAGTATTGATATGGTGTTATGGTGTTAGATAATGTTGTTTTTGCAGGGCATCTGATTTAATCCACTTACTGACTGTTAACCCTAACTGACACAAATGTGAACTTGGTGAAACTGGAAAATTTTTATCATTATAATTATTAGTATAGATCTTTATTCAGTACAGTACAGGCCACAGGCCCTTTGTACAAAATGTATGGCATATTTATGGCAACAGTCACAATGATAAAATACGTGTTCTCTCTTCTTTACTGTGATACAGATATTTAGCGATATTAATAATCAGCTTTGTGTTGGTTGTAGATAAAAGAATGTTAAACTTATGGACATTTGGGTGTAAATAATATTTTGAAGGAATATAGAGATGGCGTAGGTGAGTGTATGCAGGGCACACTAGCAGGAAATGAAACTCGTGTTCTATTAGGCCAACTTGACATAGTTTGCGAGAAAAAAATTCGCGAGGGATATTAAGTTTTCTACCAGTTTCTATTTCCAGCCAGTGTGCACTGCATCTAAACCTTGACATGCATGACCGGAATTTACTCGCGGTTACACAATACAAATATTCTTCACACTTCAACGTTAATTTAAAATGAGAATAGAAGGGCATTTTGGAGCTATTACATAACCTTCTATGCCATATTTGTTGAAAATTATCTGTACGTTACCGGGTGATTGTGATAACCAAACATGACCGAATCCGAGTGAAAATAACGTTGTTCTTATATTAGTAACCCAATTCTTCTTTCCTTGACTAGGCGGTCGGGTCGCCTAATGGTTAAAGCGGTCGCTCGTCACGCCGAAGACCCGGGTTGATTCCCGACATGGGTACAATGTGTGAAGCCCATTTCTGGTGTCCCCCGCCGTGATATTGCTGGAATATTGCTAAAAGCGGCGTAAAACCCTACTCACTCACTTTCCTTGACTATCGTATAGATACATCATTTCATAGCACTTTTTAGGTAAGCGGGTACCCGGCATACACATTAAACGTAGCCAATATTTAAAAGCTCTCATCATTGCATTGATATGTAAAGGGAATCTGCCAAATTCACCCAATACAGCGCTACTTGATGTACACTGTTTAACATTCAATAACCATTTACACGCATATAAATGAACTTTCTCAACTTCTTCCATTTTACGGAATGCCCATATTTCTGACCCATACAGTAACATAGGTGATATCTTGGAGTCAAACAATCTGAAAAGAAATTTTGGAGAATAAGGTTGTAAACAATTAATGCTTTTTAATAAGTTGATTAGTACCATTTTAGCTTGAACTGCTATGTTGCTTAAAGCTTTTGTCCATGAAAGCCTGCTGCTAAATATCAAACCTCAATATTTAAACCCTTGTGTGACTTCCACAAGTTGTCCATTCAGATACCATTTTTCACTTTTTTTCGGCCGCCCACCTTTCTGAAAAACTACAATTTTAGTTTTTTCAATGTTAACTGACATCCTCCAGTCCACACAATATTTATCTAAGATAGATAGTTCCTTCTGTAGTCCCCCAATAGTGTCTGAAATTAAAATCAAATCATCTGCAAAGAGCAATAATAAAACTTGTATAATATCAGGGTGTATCTGTACTCCGTATAGCTGCTCCTGTTCCATTGTGTGTACAATTTCATTTATGAATAATTGAAATAAGAAGGGGCTTAAAACGCAACCTTGTCTTACTCCTAAATTACATTGAAATTGGTTTGACAACAGGTTGTTACTTTTGACACATGCCTTGACATTACCATAAATTGACTTTAACATTTTGGACATCTTCGTGCTGACATCGTAGTACAGTAAACTACGGTTATAACGAACTCAAAGGGACTACGAATTTTAGTTCGTTATAACCGTAGTTCGTTATAAGCATATATACAGCATAACTACAGCAAATAGTCGGGACCAAAAAAGTGAGTTCGTTATATCCGTCAGTTCGTTATAAGCGTGTTCGTTATAATCGTGGTTTACTGTAGTAGTAGTAGTAGTAGTATCATCATCATCATCATCATCATCATCATCATCATCATTGGCTGTGTCACTTTTGTCAGGTATCTCTGTTAGTTACGCACAGAAGCATCCTATTCCTATAGCACTGCTGACTTCCAATGGTCATAGGTTTGAGTTCCAGATTGCCTAGATGTTGATCTTTGATTTGTCAGTACCATACCCGTTTTCCTTAATTTCACCAATTAATACACATGTACAATCTGGAAGAGAATTTATGGATGTCAACTTCTTTATTATGAGGAACACAATGTTTCGGAGTGTATGCTTGCTCCTTCATCAGGTGCATGATGATGAAGTGAGTTAGCATTTACTCTGTAACGTTGTGTACCTCATAATAAAGAAGTTGACATCCATAAATTCTCTTCCTTATGTGTATCACTTCTAAATGCCTTTCAAAGACCTCATGTACAATCTGTGTGACTGAAATACTCTATAAACTTTCTCATAGTACTCTTACTCCATGAGATAAACATGGCCATTGTCGAAACAGTATGAACATGATGTATATTAATTATCAGGGATTTATTTCCACATGCTCAGAACCTGATATTTGGCACCAAGTCGGCAGTAAATGTTAGTTAATATTCCCAAATTAGAGATACCGTATTTGACGTAATAAGCGCCCAGGGCGCTCTCAAAATTAGAAATAGTGAGCTCTTATTAGAATAGTATAGTTAAAAGATAATTTTCGTGGTTTATGCTGACAGCCTGAAATGTTTATATACGAGAGGTATATTTTTCCAGAATTTAATTGCCCATAATTAAGGGTGCATATAACACACAAGTGCGTATTATATGCGAATAAATAAGTCTTGTTACATTGATCAATCGGCAGGGGTGCTTATTGGGGTTGTTCACTAACCAATATCTTAGCAAATAGCGCAGTGGGCGCTTATTACGTCGAATACGGTAAATGATATTGTAGTATTAATGTTATGGCTCAACAAAGGCAACTTATAATTCATTGATAACTGAACCAACAAAGACTTAGAAGATGTTATTCTTGGTTATACATTATCATGATTACTGCATTGCATGCAGTGTTAACATTACTTGGAATGTGAGAAAAAAAGAACTACAAAAAAAGTTCCAATTTTAAACCTTATTACTTTTACCTTATTACTGTTTGTGATTACTTTTAAGTCCCTCATTGTTCCTCATACCTGTTATCCCTTGTAGGGTTCATAAAAACCAGCAATACAGTGTAGTGTGCTGGATTAGACAGGTGCTTGTCATAGGAACACAGGCCTGTCATCATGTCCTCTGTATCAGGAAACATGGATAGATTTCATCTACAAACTGTGTACATGGTCAGCTTACCCGTGAAGACCTGTGATAGAATAGGTCTTCAGAAACCCATGGTTGCCGTTAAAGGCGACTTTACTTGTCTTAAGACGCGACTTATGGGATCAGGTGGTCAGACTTGCTGACTTGGTTGATGCATGTCTCTTTATCCCAATTACGTAGATCAATGCGCATGATGTCAATCACTGGATTGTCTGGTCCAGACTTGATTATTTACAGACCCCCTGTCATATAGCTGGAATACTAATCACTACTTATGAACATGATAAAGATATCAATATTTATGTGTGAGTATTCACCATGGTGAATAATATCACCACGGATGGTGTTTATGAAGTTGATGGTATTCTTAATCTTTGTCTTATTAGAGATTTCCTCTGTGGTGTAGTGGATAGAGCGTCCGCCCCGAGAGTGGAAGGTCGGTGTTTAGATCCCTGACAGTATCATACCAAAAGATGTTAAAACTTGGTACTTGTTGTTTCCCTGCCTGATTAGGGTGATAAAACAAGGACTGGTCGTCTCGGAGAAGATATACTGTGTCTGAGTGGGGTGTCCATGTTAAACTGCAGCACAAACACACATGCACGCACACACACACGCACGCACACACGCATGCACACACGGACACACATCGCTATAGAAGAGCAATAATCTTGAGCCCCATTTCCCCTCACCTTGTCTTATTTGTATGTTGGAATGTGTCAGAGAATGTCTTGTATCTCCACATGCTCAATCACAGGTGACAGTAATGTCTACAGGTGACACAGGGAACAAGTGGTCTAAGGTGCTGCTATATGCTGTGTTGAGGTATTTCCTCCCCACAGAATCTGTGGGTTTGAAAAAAGATTGGCCTTATTATGGCTTGTTATCACCAGCCACTTTCACCAAAATGGTAAATGTCTACACCACATCACTTGTGGACTGCCTCCGTGGTCTAGTGGTAGATCGTCCGCCCAGAGAGGGAAAGGTCCGGGGTTCCATCCCCAGCCATGTCATACAAAAAGACGTAAAAAGATGGTACTTGTTACCCTGTCTGGCGCTTGGCATTAAGGGGCTAGAACAAGGACTGGTCAGCTCAGAGTCAGTATACGGTGTGTGAGTGGGGTATTCATGTTAAACTGCAATATGGTATCAGTGTGCTAGCACTCTAAAATTAGTCCTGACTAGTACAAGCAGCCACACATGCACGCATGTACACCTCACCTCACCTCACCTCACCTCACCTCACCTCACCTCACCTCACCTCTTGACATCACTTGTGGCTGTGCTCCCACATTCAGCTCTCATGCAGTGATATATATTATATTCTACTCGAAAGGAGTTAAAGAACACCTGTTCTTTCATTTCACTCCAGTTAATTTATCATAGCATAACAGCTTATCTATTGTAATATGAAAGAATCAGTTGTTCTTAAACATCTGTTGACTAGCATACTAATGAAATACTGAAACAGCATTAGACCCAATTCACTCACTAACTCACTGTTTCTGTTTCAGGTACCGTGGTGTGTGTGGTGACATTGTTGACACTATGTGTTCCCGCTCATGCCGTCTCCACTGTCTCCCTGACAAGCACGCCCCTTTCGGACACGCCCCTCTCCACAACCATACAGCCCAGTTTCAGCTCCAGCCTGCACCAAGGATCAAGCATCACATTTACAATTCTGTCTAGCAGTCTTCAGACACATGGCTCAGCGGAGATCACAGACCTGTTCCATGTTTCGCCCTCAAGTGACACATACGCCACGGTGACAGGTGACACTTTTGGTCAGCTGTTTGTGACCAGCTCTGCGAGTCTGTCAGTTGAACCTGACATCCACCATGTCAGCAGCTTACCTAGCTCTCAATCTGACTCTCTCAGTGCAATCTCATCCACCACCCTGGTGTTGGAACCTGCCCGTCCCACCCTGTTGCCATCAGTGGTAGAGTCCACAACAGTACCTGGATCGTCTTTTTCTCCAGAAGTAGGGGGTATGAACAAATCAACAACTACAGTTAATTCGCAAAGGAGTACAGGTTTGAGTAATGACACAGTTACAAAAACGACGTTGGATGGTATTGGAGGGGGGACAACAACGACCACATCCCCAGGTTTTGGTAACGGTAGCTGTTCAGGCAACAACACTGGATGTCCAGAGTACAATGGCCGCCTCAATATGGAACTGTCTACTCCAGCTATCATAGGTATTGCAGTAGGGGCTGCAGTCCTTGTTATTGTTGTAGGTAAGTTGTTGAGCAGGAAATTCATGGGTGATATACACTCATTTACTTACCCATTCGGTGCACACACAGTGTAATAATAAATATATCATGTATATAGTCACAGACTTTTTCTGAAATTACACATACACACGGTCCAGACTGGATTATTTACAGGCCAAAATGATATAACTTTGACTATTGCTGACTGTGCTGATATGTTAAACAACATTATACCATGAATGTGGAAAATTCTCTATTCTGATTGGTCAGTCAGAGGTTTCATATGACAATAATAACCCCTGATATTTATGGGAAAATACTGTTTTCTCAATTGTTGCCAGTAGTTATTTGGAACTGATATGAATTGTTGCAGTTGTGGTCCCAACAATGTACATGATATGTGGCAATACTGTATTGCAAATCCTAGGGATAACAGAGAACTTCAATCTTGGGGCTTCTCTTTATTCTCTATATAAACCCCCAAAGTTGGGACCCAAATACTGCAGTTGACCGGATTGTGATACGAAAGATATATGTCACAGTCGAATATAGAGAAGCCCTAAGATTGAAGTTCTCTGTTATCCCTAGGATTTGTAATACAGGGGTCAGCTGCAGTATTTGGGTCCCCACTTTGGGGGTGTCCGTAAGGAAACCACTGCCTTCAGCAGCTTCAGTACAGAAGCTGCCAAAGGCAGCTTTGCTTATATATAAGTGCGCTACAACACTATCTTGGGGGTCCATCGTGGCATCGTAGGGGGTAGATGACCAACACAACAGTACATGCTTGCTCTGCCTACTTCTAACACGTTTGAAAAACGATTAGGATGTAGTAGTTGTTTATAATTCATAGAGTAAAAATGTTGATTTGATTGAGTATATTGATGTGAAAAACAAAACAATGTTTGAATATAAACAGAGACAGATGTTGTGTAAACATGTTAAAGGTGATTGGACTTAACCCATACCGCTTGACTCATTAGTTTTTGCATTTAATTATGTCATGGTACAATAGAGGTAACTATTTCTCTGGAAATATGTCACTCACTCACTCACTCACTCACTCACTCACTCACTCACTCACTCACTCACTCACTCACTCACTCACTCACTCACTCTCAAAGTATGATGTGCAATACATGGTTCATTGAATGAAAAACATCTTGACTCCAGCATGCATGCTGATCTTCATGTGTCGCCGCCGCCGGACATTATCAGGGTCAAAGGCCGATCTGTCTACCTACTGGGATGACAATGTGACCCTCAGCTACATCAACGGACATCTTGATTACCCCAAGGTCAGTCTACATAGGTGTCTATAGGGCTTACTGGGACCAGAGTAACATAAAGGTTGTCCACAAATACTTGTGTACCAGGTAGCATGCCCTTAGTAGAGTCAGTAGGTGCTGACCATGGGATACAGAGTTGGAATTGGTCACCAGCAACCTCTGATTGTCCTTGAGGTCACTTAATGGATCGGATGGTCAGACTCAATGACTTGGTTGATGGTGTCTTCATACCAAGACAGCATGGGAATTGGCACATAATAATAATCAGTGGTTTGTCTGGTCCAGACTTGATTGTTTAATTACCACTGTCATATAGTTGGAATATTGCTGAGTGCTGCATTAAACAAGAAACAAAGAGTAGGTACTGCTTTCATTGTGACTAGTTACAGAAATGCTAAATAATATGTGATCACTAGTGAAATGATCAGTCTATCTGGATAGCAGAAACACAAATATTTTTGCGTGGGCTTAAGCTATTTGGTGCAGAAAAAAAGATTCTGAAGGAAAATACTTCTTATGATAAAGTTCACATCTGAATTGCTGTAAACATTGTCATGCTATTAAGTAGTTCATCATGCTTAAATCTGTTAGATCATTTCAACAAGAGTAGAAATATTCTTGAGTGTGCTGGCCCAAGTCAGTCTGCCCAATGCTGAAGGTGTCCCAGACAGTGCAAAAATATAGCAGGATTTCTGTCTGTTCCTGTATTTCATAATATCTATTTGCTCCAAGAGATACAGACATGATTAGCCTCTTTCAGTATTACTCTCAAGGGAAAGTTTAGGTATGTATACTGATAGAAGAACTTGGTTGATTGTGTGGCATCGTACCATGACAGCGTGAATCATTGCTCACTATGCCAATCACTTTATTGTCTGGTCTAGACTTGATTATTTACAGTCCACTGCATATTGCTGGAATATTGCTTAAACAACAAACAAATGTGTGTATGTATGCTGCATTCTGAGTGTGCATTCACTCACTCACCCATGAGCCACATGGCCTCCTGTGATGTTTGAGATGCAGTAATTAACACATATGTTTTGAACTCAAAGTTTGTTTGTTTGTTCAAGGCTTCGCTTAGCAATATTCCAGATTATTATGGCGGTCTGTAAATATTTGAGTCTGGACCAGTCAACACAGTGATTGATATCATGAGCATTGATCAACATAATTGGGATTCGATGACATGCATCAACCAAATCAGCGAGCCTGACCACCTGATCCCATTAGTCGACTCTTACGAAAAGCATAGTCGCCTTTTACCATGTTTACGGCAAGCATGGGTTGCTGAAGACCTATTCTTACCCGGATCTTCATGGGTTAGAACTCAAATAGCAATATGGTGTCATTATTCAGCAATCATTAAGCAAATAATTCATTGTTTTCTCAGTTTATGCTTGGATCCATACCCAGTGTACATCCAGTGAAGGTCAGTCATGATGACCTTGATGAGAGTGTTCTTATTGTTTCAGGATCTGAGTGATGAGATGGTTTCATTGGACAATGATTCCTTCCTGAACAGCCTGGACAGCATGTCTTTCTCCAACATGTGGGCTGCTGAGAACGCTAAACACACTAACTTCTGACACATGCAAAATAGGCCCATCTCAACATGTGGGCCGCTGAGAACGCCAAACATACTAACTTCAGACACATGCAAAATTGCCCCATCTCAACAGACAACCCACTGATTAACGCTAAACACTCCAACTTCTGACACCTGTAGAACATGCAGGTCAACATTTCTCTTGTTTTCGTCATTGGAATCGCATGTTCCGTGAAACTAGTTAAGACCTGTGTTTGGCATGTGTGAAATGATCTGTATGTGGTAATGTGTCCATGGTAACCAGTCCTGGGTTCTGAGATGAATAATAATTTTATAGAACATTGCCTTCTGGATCTGTGCATCATTTGTCAACAGATGCCATTTTTGTGAGAATGGTAACAAGGTCTTGGAAAGAGTTGCACTGAGGTGTTAATTTACGCTGAAGTAAATCATGTGGCTTTATGGATGTGAAAGTCACTGGTATCAAATTTGTTACCTTTTAGCCAGTGTTCTTGGGAAGCCTTGGAACAAGTACTTTGAAGAACAATAGAACCAGTACTTTAAGGACATTTGAGCAAGTACTTGAAGGACATTTGAGCAAGTACTTGAAGGACATTTGAGCGAGTACTTGAAGGACATTTGAGCGAGTACTTGAAGGACATTTGAGCGAGTACTTGAAGGACATTTGAGCAAGTACTTGAAGGACATTTGAGCAAGTACTTGAAGGACATTTGAGCAAGTACTTGAAGGACATTTGAGCGAGTACTTGAAGGACATTTGAGCGAGTACTTGAAGGACATTTGAGCGAGTACTTGAAGGACATTTGAGCGAGTACCTTGTACCTTGGAACAAATACTGTGATGGACATTTTACCAAGTACTTCCACATTTGAGCAGGAGCTTCGAAATCAGAAAGACATGTTCCCAGATTGGCAAAGTCTTACAGTGAGTGTAATACACATGTTGTTGAAGACAAATGTTGAAATACATGGATTCTCACACTGTGGTCTTGAGATTGGTGAAACAAGAACCCTTGTGTGTCCTGAGTTGATGACCAAGTTATGCAGTATGTCCACAATATGCTAGTCTATGTGATTGATCAGGGCTGTTGAACAAAACACAACAGCCCTGATGGTGGATATGTCCTATTCCGATGGTGCTGATGTATGCAGATGTGAGTGATGGAGGTCACACAGACCTACATGAGAGATGAGTTGTTTATGTTGTTCAAGGTTGAAGCTAGGGCAACTTCTAGGGCAACTGTTGTTCAACAAGGAACATTCACAGTGAGATCATGTCAGAATCTCAAAAAATAAACATATCATAGACATCCTATCAAAACAATGTTAGATAAAGCATTACTATGAATATATAACATGTAAGAAACTGCAGTCTTTTAAAAGCCAGGGAACAGTGTCAAATTTCAAAGGTTTGAAATTGTTGGAAATGTATAAAAATGAGATGAGCAGTAAACTGCATTTCCAAAACAACTGCTATGAAAAACCTGTTGTGTTTATGCATAAGTGAAAAGATCTGTTATTTTGGGCAAATTCACCAAGATGAAATGCTTCGAAGATTTGAATGTGTTCCCTGGCTCTTGTAAAGCTGGTATATAGTTTAAGTTTGAGGCAAATAATACCATTTGGAAAGAAGTTAAGTATATGTTAGTTTGACAATTCTATGTGCCAAGATTTGCCACTTCAGGATAATATTAATCTTGAGAAGTTATTTATGAAAAATGTTTAGATTACTACAACTGCTAATGATATGAACTTGATATATACGAGATATTTATTAGCCTTGTTAAGCATTATTGATGACAATGTGCAAAGTGTTTCAGCTAATACAGTAGATATATAGGCCAGTCAGTAGCAAGAATTATTTACAGAGTTTTTTGTATAATTTTCTCTCTTTGTTTCTGATGTTTTGAAGAACAAAACTATTACTGGTTGTGAAAGTATTGATCTTACAAGTGATTAGTGCTGTTTTCCCAATTCTGCATTGATCAGTACATCAGTCTGACAATGTAAGCATAATTTTGTCCATCCATTTTAGTTTATTAAGATGGTCAGTTATTTTACCATTTCAAGCAAAACTGATCTTATGTTACTTAACCTTGCATTTCTTAACCCCCAAAATAAATGATTTTTATCAACAATTATTCTGAAAAGATTGCAAGAAGCAAATCAAGACCACATCAACAGGGTCAGTCTTTCCTTAACCCATTGGCTAAACATTAAAGAGAGATAACTCTAATAGTCCTGCCTGTCAAATTAATCAGCCTTCTGAGTACATCATTAATCATATGTTTTCAATCGCAGTAAATTCATGCAAACTTGTTTAGAGACGTATATTCAAGATGTCAAAACGTTGAAATCATTTTGTTTAACCTGTTTGTGCATCTTTTGATGTTTCAATGCAGTGAATCGTCATGGTTATAGTACCTGTTTTCTGCTCTTTATGCAGTTTGAGCTCGATGCAAAGGAACTTTGATTTACGGAAAATTGTGCAATAGGTATTGTATTGTTAATATCTTGATTACAGTTGGATTTTATTCAGAATTTGGCAATGTGTGTGAGTATATTCTGAGAGTTTACATTTGAAGCATTTAAGGATTAGGTAATAGATTGTATGTATGGGAGATTCGTGTTCGGGTTTAAATGTGTAAATGATGTGTAGGCAGTCGTTCACATAGTCAGTCCATCGCCCAACTCACTTGTTACATATATATGCAGCACAGTATTTTTATAGAAGTGAAACCCTGTATTGTGTGTGTGTCACCCTATGATGAGTGTTGTACCACATCGGATCTCATCATTCCATATTCCCCTCATGATCATCTTCCCATGTGTCCGTCATATGCATAATAATTCTCACAACAACATGAACTTTGATACCTTGAGTAGTTGAGTATACCCTATAGGTGGTATGTTGTCCTTTTGTCAAGATATGAATCACGTCTTTGATAGGCATTTAGAAGTTGGCAGAACATGAACACAAGAAACTAATTGTGGATATCAATTTATTAATTGTCAGGGCTAATTCTTGACCCTTCGTCAGATCAATGACTTGTGTTCGCGGTAGGACTCTTTTGCAGAGATTGTGTCTGCAGCAATCTGGATACAGTCTGTGCCGAAATCTTTTTAAGTCAACCATCGGAAATTGACCTTTTGGCATCCATTTCTGTACATTTAAGTGTTAGTATATGGACTATCATTTCCTAAGCCTCCTAGACCGAAAGAATTTTTTTCTTGATGCAGGCTTTGAATTGGTGGCATACTTTATTTTGAGTAAGTTAGTATATAGATATTTTACCATGATCGACAAAGTTAATGTTACCATTAACGAATGAAAATGAATCCAAACCAATTTAATTTCTTGTTTTATATATTTTCATGGACAATGCCAAGAAGCAATCTTTAAATAAAAGCTGTATGCAAAATGCAAACCATATTGTGTTTTAGAAATAGTATATTTTCAATGAAACGCAGCATTTAGATTAGTTTCACTATTGCAAGACAAGAAAATAGCTTGCCTGGTCTTAGTGAGAAAGGTTAGGTTTACAACAAGCAAAGGTAACAGATTGTTGGATAGACCTGATCTTTAAGTTGTCAATATGAAATAGACTCAAACAAGATGACATTTTCGCAATTTGTCTGACATTTGGCTAACATCTTTTAAGGTTTTTGTTTTTGTTTCTATCGTTATCATAATGGTTATATCAACATTTTACAAATAATTATAAAGTTATTTAGTGGTACTCTGTCATACAAGCAACTTACTGAGAAGCAATTTTGGTGTCGCCTACCATGGCCTCTCTCATTATCTTTGTTAATAGAATAACCATTTAGCTGAAATTTTAGTTATCAGTATTCACTGAGTTTGGTCTCATATGTGCCATATTTCTGAAATCAAACGTTTTGTTCAATGTTATTGTAAAACTCAAACGACTTAGGACTGGTATGTTCGATGTCAGTGTTGAAGTTTTCCTGCATGGTGCTTTTGTTTCAATATGTATAGTCCTAGATAAAAGTAAGTAGCAAGTGTAGAGGATGGTAGTTGACCACTCACACAGTACAATATGTTGCCAATATTTACAAACAAATAACATTTGTGATGACTGATTCCAAGAATTTGGAATGAATCCTTATTTTGCAAAGTCATTGTCATTACAACTTATCACCACATCTGTATATAACATGTAATTTCATTCATATTGGATCATTCCACAAGATCATATCATACAATAAACTCATTCCTCGTCACCTGAGAATATGAAGGATGGAGCTGGCCTAAGGACAAGGTGAACTTGCTGATGATGCATCATGCAATGTCCGCTCGCTCACTCACTCACTCACTCACTCACTCACTCACTCTGAGCAGTGGCCCTCATCACCTGGGGAAGTGTGGACAAGATGATCAATGATTTGTCTATGAGACGAAGGCTCCTGACACTTACAGTCTCGAAGGTTTTCCTATGGTAGGGAATGTTAACTGTGTGGCCTTCATGGGGTATTATGATAATATTATAATTCCTTAAAAATTGCTGGCATGTTCAAAGGAACAAAGTATTTATCAGCATTAGTAATTGGCACTAGTCCAGTAGTCCTTGCAAAATTACCCAACAAGGTGTCATAAGGACTAGTAAAAATTTGCCATTATTAATTGTTTTGCTAGATGTTATTATGTGGACTAAAAGTGTCAGGACAGCAGTGTGGACTTGAAGCAGGTCCAGCTTTAGTTTCTTCTCTCATTGATAACTCCATTTAATATCATCTTTATTATTGTCAAACGAGGATTATACAAAGAGCCTTGAAACTATATCTTGAAAATGAATAGCATAGATATGATTTTGAAGACTTTGTGATAACTTTATGATTGAACATCTTGTTCCTTCTTCCTGTTGTGATCAGGGAGGATATTGAAAGCAATGGCCAGACCAGATTAGTTTGTTTATTTTGGAATGTTTTCTTTGTCAAATCGCCAATAGGTTTTGACAGGGTTGATTTGAGTTGATTTTTTTAAGTATCTTAAACGAGTGTTTGCCAAAGGCCTTGTTGATTTACATTTTATCAACATATGTGAATATCTTTAAGCTCCAAGCTTCTGTTCCAACTTTGTCAAGCCTGTTTTAAGAAGTTTTGCTTTTTCATTCCACACTTGCTCTTAACATTTATGTGTACGACCTTTATATGGAAATATCAGAAATTAGTCTGGCCTCAAAATCATTTGACAGTGTTCTTGCAGGCTAAAATGCATGATTCCATCATTCTCAGTGTTTCCCTAGTGTGTACTTGTCCACCTATTATTTACCAAAGACTGGATCCTAACCCAGATGCATATCAGACTTATAAATGCAATATACAGTGTATAAGTGTTTTGTCAATGTCAACTATGTGTCCATCCCATCGTTCCCATGGTTACCCTTTGTCTTGTTGTCTTCCTGTGGCATAATATGGCACTTTGTTTAAGGCCTTGTTGATTTTCATTTTATCAGAATATATATATATTTAACTTTTTATGCTTCCAGTTTTTATTCCAACTTCGACAAGCCTAAATCTTTTAAGCGCTGCATATTCATTCCAAACACTCTCTTAACAATAATGTGGGCAACCTTTATGAAGTATTAAGATTTGAAATAATGGCTTCCATGTGGAATATGAATAATTGTTGATTGATTATTGTTGCTATTAGTGATGGTTAAATAAATATAGTTACAGATCAACATCACATGAACATTTCAAGGCATGCAAGCTAGGAAGGCTGCATCCTTTTGTATCAGCTTCAGGGCTGGAGTTGTTTTTTAAAGCAGCAATATTTTGATTCCAGTTTTATTTCAGGTAAAACTTTGAATCAGGCAAAATCAGTGGAGGAGATTGTTGAGTAGTCTGAAAAACGATTAATTTCAGTGAAATGAAATAAGTATCAGTAACAGAAATTGGCGTCATATGTTTGTCATTGCAGACACATTTGAGTTTTATGTCCGATGCAATTTCCTATTTTCACTTGTACCATATGTTCCCATGTTTTTTCAGGTGAACAATTGACTTGCCTTTGCATGTGTTTGTGATGTGCACCACCGGAGGGGCAGGATATGCTTACCTTTTTTGCGAAAAACATCTGGTATCATTACTATTTGATAGTGATTCATAAACACATGCTCAAGATACAGTCGGAATCGTACAATCGACTATTTCTATTGGATATGGAAAGGGGTTGGCCCTATATTTATAGAAATCGCTTCCACTGGTTTTGAGCCCTGTAGCTACGTGCGAGATATGTGCTTTTTCTTTGTAATTTCTAATTCAATTCAGTGCAGAATTTTGTTGAAGATTGCTTTCAGTTAAGGATCCTGGATATATATACATACAGACATTGCTTCAAGCTAAGGATCTTGGATATGTATAAGTAAAGAGATTCTTTCATTGTTTATCAACATGATGATAGTTGAATCTCATTCAATAGAACATCCATTGTACTCCTCATAGCATTAGGTTTTAGTGTATTTTCATAACCTGACCTTGCACTGCAAATTTACAGAATAGATCTACCGGGTAAATGCATCCAGTATTGTTGTCAAGTGAGTATTCAGATATAAAGATGTAGAGTTATGTTGTGATCCTATTGTTTTATGGTTATTTACTGTGTTGTTTGGGTTTTCATTCCATGATGCTCTGGATTTTCCATTTTGCTTATTTCTGGGTTGTGATTGTTCTCGTTACTCTACAGGTTTGTTTAAGCCTAGTTTTATTGTCAATTGTGTGTACATTTGTATCATGTTTTGTGAGTGGATCTGAAGCAAGACTTGATCTGAATTGGGTTTATTCATAATTTAGGTAAGAACAAAGATGCAGTTGTATTTAAACATGTACCTGTATGTTTCCTTTTGTAAAAAGTGATACCATTAAAGAATATTTTAGGTGTAAAATGTTCCAAATGAAAATGATTATCATAAAATACGGAATTTTGTCATTTGTTAGATTTTGTAGATCTCAACAACTATGTAATTTCGCTGAATTATTTTGATTTAAATTTCTCATGTTTTGATGAATACACCTCTTTATCAAATAGGACAGTCAAGATCAATGTGCTGGTCCAAACCAGGAATATTTTATCTTGCAGTAATGTGGTCAAGATGCGTGAAACCACCCATCCCTTTATCGTGTCAGTTAAATAATTCAGGAATAGTAACCTTTAGAAAACAGATTAGTTCTACAGCTTGAGATGTTGTTTGTATGCTGCAGCTCGATGAAATCTCCACTGCAATCCATGCAAGTGGTAATATTTGTAACTGCACACCAGGGGAAGAAGAACATAAACTGCTCCACCACATATGCAACATGTCCAGATTAAACTCAGCCTGAGGCCTTTATGCAGTGATGAAACGTTTCTTGTATTTTATGCATGAGGTCTGTGTCTATGAGCTTATGCTAAACTATTCACATCTTGGTTACAGTTGTCACTCGATTCTTGTCAGCAGGAAGTGCTGTTCATTATTTTCTCAAATATTGCATAATCAGCGTTTACATTGTCTTGTTTTTGTTGTCTTCCAAGTCAGTCATTTGGAAAGTTATATATGTTATTAGTATAGTTATAGATTCTTTGAAAGCAGGGGCAGTCGGGTAGCCTAGTGGTTAAAGCGCTCGCTCGTCATGCCGAAGACCCGGGTTTGATTCCCGACATGGGAACAATGTGTGAAGCCCATTTCTGGTGTCCCCATCGTGATATTGCTGGAATATTGCTAAAAGCGGTGTAAAACCATTCTCACTCACTCACTCACTCACTCACTCACTCACTCACTTTGAAAGCATGGTAGTGAAAACTAATACTTTAAATTTGAATCAAGATCAGGTATTGTCTGCAAATCTCACAGAAGGCAGCTGGATTAAGAGCATATTACATGCTCCAAAGTAAATTGATCCGCTTGTCACTTGTTGCTGTGGCTTGGAGCAAGTGATGAATCTTTTTTAGTTTGTTTACTATGTAAGAATCGTGTGTGGACACAGGTGGCTCAGTTGTTTAAATCTCACAATTTGTTGTGCAGAGCTGTGTCCATTAAGCACGTCTGAAACCTATGCTCATAGGTTCATTCATCTCTCCGAGGCAAGGGAGATAACTGATTTTAAAAGTCCGTGTTCCACCCTTGCCGAACTTAGACTGGAAGTTCTGGGCTCGATCGTTGCACCACCAGTGGCTATTACAAATTATGTCCTTTCTATATCCCCCACCCTACTGACCAATCAGATTCCACCTCTCATATCACTTGAATTCAAACAAAGTGGCGGCGCCCAGTCAAGATGATTTCATCATATGTGCATAATATCACTTGAGCACCTTGATTAAAAACATGAAAAGATTTGTAAAATATCTGTCAACGCCAAATTGACGGTACCCATGCTCTGCAAATTCTGCAATTGAACGAATTAGGCACAGCAGTTGTCATGTTGTTATGAACCGGATGTTGATTTCGTGAATGGATTTTGATTTGACTAGATAAAGATGCGTTAGTCCAGCCAAACTGTAACTCCACAATTCCAGCCTAGTTCAGCAAGGGTGGAAATTGGTCTTTCAAAGTCGGTTAACTCCCTTGCTTCAGGAAGATGAGGTACATAACCCATATTTTTCTGATTATGATTCTAGGTTCAAGCCTGTGGGTTTCACCAAAGTGGTACATGTCTAAGACCTATATTCCTTAGGGCATCCCACGCAAATCAAGTTATTATGCTGTGTCATAATTGAAATACCACATCACTTCAGGTTTTCTTCCACATCAAGCTGACGTGCCATGATATAACTGAAATACTGTTCATAGTGGCGTTAAAACCCAGCTCACTTACTCTAGAATTGTTTACCATTGTGTGGGTATTGTTTTCTTGTTTATATCCTGTTTACACATTTCATGTGTATTTGATTTAGTTATGGACTAATGATTGCTAGTTTTCTTATGTTGATTTCAAAGATCTGTTGATACTATCAGTTACCACATGTTGTCATTAAAGTTTGGTGTCTGCATGTAATTTAGAAAATGTGAATTTATTACATATCATTTTAATTCAAACATATCACATGTATTTGATTGAATTATTGCCAGGTATTTTAGTGAGGGTCAGCCAGGAATCGGGACAGTGCTTTGTGTCCTGGCTAGTGTTTGTTTAAACTGTCTAAGAATACACTGATTTTGTATACAAAGTCAATGGTGTTTTTGTTAAACGCTTGATACTGAAGTCATATGATTAAGAATCTTTTTAACATTTTACAGATTAGAAAAGAGGAACAAGATTGCTCGGAGAAAAAATGTTTCTATTGAGTTTTGCGAACAAAACATTGATAAAATAGACAAATTGACAATTTGATGGCATGTAATCTGAAAATTTAGTTCCGAGTTCAATGTAAACATTTATAGAACAATATCTATCTTCAGAGAAATGTGTTGGAAAATGTATATGTGATAAGCTGATGAGGATGTGTGCCATATAATTTTTTTAAAGTTTGATTATCTTCTCGTCTTATCAGCAGAGGACTTGTACCAGAAAATTTACAATATTTTCCCTAAAACTTGATAGTTTTTTCATCTAATCAACAGAATTAAAGGATGCTGTTCACAGCCTGACCTCTTGCATGTTGGTTGAAGCCAGAAATATACGGATACCCTTTCTTTATATCACATTGTGAGATGAACACATGCTTGACAGGGTTGACTCCCTGTCATGTCATGTGTGTTGTACTCTGGTGTATGTAAGTGTCACACTATTTTACCTGGGAACCCTATACTGATCTGTACACATATGAAATGGCATACCCTGCATCCTTTGTCAGATAAGTGCAGTACTTACACTTGTTATGTGTCATGATATTTGGAAGAATAAATCTTAAAGAAATATATATATATATATTAAATGCTGTTGTTTTATATCTCAATGGCATCATTAATCAGACGTTTGTTCTTGACTATGTGTCTACACCTGTGAATAAATGTCCTTGTCAGGGACATCTTACCAGAAGCAATCCATATCACGGGTGTTACACCACAAGTAACCAGATCAACCATCCATGAGGGTGTTACACCACAAGAAACCAGATCAACCATCCATGTTGGTGTTACACCACAAGTAACCAGATCAACCATCCATGAGGGTGTTACACCACAAGAAACCAGATCAACCATCCATGAGGGTGTTACACCACAAGAAACCAGATCAACCATCCATATCACGGGTGTTACACCACAAGAAACCAGATCAACCATCCATGTTGTTACACCACAAGAAACCAGATCAACCATCCATGTTGGTGTTACACCACAAGTAACCAGATCAACCATCCATATCTCGGGTGTTACACCACAAGTAACCAGATCAACCATCCATGTTGTTGTTACACCACAAGAAACCAGATCAACCATCCATGTTGTTGTTACACCACAAGAAACCAGATCAACCATCCATGTTGGTGTTACACCACAAGTAACCAGATCAACCATCCATATCACGGGTGTTACACCACAAGTAACCAGATCAACCATCCATGAGGGTGTTGCACCACAAGAAACCAGATCAACCATCCATGTTGGTGTTACACCACAAGAAACCAGATCAACCATCCATGTTGGTGTTACACCACAAGTAACCAGATCAACCATCCATGAGGGTGTTACACCACAAGAAACCAGATCTACCATCCATGTTGGTGTTACACCACAAGTACCCAGATCAACCATCCATGTTGGTGTTACACCACAAGTAACCAGATCAACCATCCATGTTGGTGTTACACCACAAGTAACGAGATCAACCATCCATGTTGGTGTTACACCACAAGTACCATGATCAACCATCCATGTTGGTGTTACACCACAAGAAACCAGATCAACCATCCATGTTGGTGTTACACCACAAGGAACCAGATCAACCATCCATGTTGGTGTTACACCACAAGTACCCAGATCAACCATCCATGTTGGTGTTACACCACAAGTAACCAGATCTACCATTCATGTTGGTGTTACACCACAAGTAACCAGATCAACCATCCATGTTGGTGTTACACCACAAGAAACCAGATCAACCATCCATGTTGGTGTTACACCATAAGTAACCAGATCTACCATTCATGTTGGTGTTACACCACAAGAAACCAGATCAACCATCCATGTTGGTGTTACACCACAAGTAACCAGATCAACCATCCATGTTGGTGTTACACCACAAGAAACCAGATCAACCATCCATGTTGGTGTTACACCACAAGTAACCAGATCTACCATTCATGTTGGTGTTACACCACAAGTAACCAGATCAACCATCCATGTTGGTGTTACACCACAAGAAACCAGATCAACCATCCATGTTGGTGTTACACCATAAGTAACCAGTTCAGCCATCCATGTTGGTGTTACACCACAAGTAACCAGTTCAACCATCCATGTTGGTGTTACACCACAAGTAACCAGATCAACCATCCATGAGGGTGTTACACCACAAGAAACCAGATCTACCATCCATGTTGGTGTTACACCACAAGTACCCAGATCAACCATCCATGTTGGTGTTACACCACAAGTAACCAGATCAACCATCCATGTTGGTGTTACACCACAAGTAACGAGATCAACCATCCATGTTGGTGTTACACCACAAGTACCATGATCAACCATCCATGTTGGTGTTACACCACAAGAAACCAGATCAACCATCCATGTTGGTGTTACACCACAAGGAACCAGATCAACCATCCATGTTGGTGTTACACCACAAGTACCCAGATCAACCATCCATGTTGGTGTTACACCACAAGTAAACAGATCAACCATCCCTGTTGGTGTTACACCACAAGTAACCAGATCTACCATTCATGTTGGTGTTACACCACAAGTAACCAGATCAACCATCCATGTTGGTGTTACACCACAAGAATCCAGATCAACCATCCATGTTGGTGTTACACCACAAGGAACCAGATCAACCATCCATGTTGGTGTTACACCACAAGTACCCAGATCAACCATCCATGTTGGTGTTACACCACAAGTAACCAGATCAACCATCCATGTTGATGTTACACCACAAGTAACCAGTTCAACCATCCATGTTGGTGTTACACCACAAGTAACCAGATCAACCATCCATGTTGGTGTTACACCACAAGTAACCAGATCAACCATCCCTGTTGGTGTTACACCACAAGTAACTACATCAACCATCCACAAGAAACCAGTTCAACCATCCTTGTTGGGGTTTTACCACCAGAAACTTGATCAACCATACATGTTTGTGACAATGAACCAAAAACAAGTCATCCTTGTACTGTGTTACTGAAACTATGCCACCTGATGACTGGCACATGTCTGTTTGTCGTTTAACGCCGTACTAGCAATATATGACGGCTGTGTCTGAGTGGGGTATCCATGTTAAATGGCGGCATGGTATTTAAATGGGCTAGGCAAGCAGTATAAACCAGCATTTATCTGGACAAGTACAAGCAGAGACGCACGCACGCACGCACGCACGCACGCAGGCGCCCCTTTCCACCTCACCTAAGTCTAACGACAAGGAAAAGCATTTGTAATTGCTAACCGATCCCTCTGACACTATCCAAGCGAAAAAATAAACCAAAAAACTATTATTAGCCACTCATATTGAGTTATGTGACCACAAAACGGTAATGAAAGATCTTTATTTAAACGATTCCATACACAAACGCAGATTTCTAAACATAAATAATATGGTTGTTTGTTGTTTAACGCCGCACTCGGCAATATTCCAGCTATATGACCTCAGTATGTAAAACAATCAAGTCTGGACCAGACATTACAGTGATTGACATCATGAGCATCGATCCACGCAATTGGAATACTATGACATGCATCAACCAAGTCAGCGAACCTGACCACCCGATCCCGTATGTCGCCTCTTACGACAAGTATAGTCGCCTTTTATGGCAAGCATGGGTTGCTGAAGACCTATTCTACCCCGGATCTTCACGCGTCTGTCAGTACGGGTTAGAATTAAAAAACATTCGACGCCGGGCGTCTCCTACAGGACTATGGTGAGAACTGACCGCATACCTCTATCACTCCGTTGACTCTTTGCAATAGATAACGGGGAATGCTGGTAGGTGTCGCAACGTAGCTGGTGGATAGTGAAGATATGTCCAAACTTTGTCTGAATAATTCACGTTCAGTTTTAGCAGTCGGTGGCCTGAAGTGAGAGAGGGTGGTTGGCCCAACAAGTAGAGGGTTAAAAGGTAGATGGGCTGGGTTTTACATCCTACAAGGGTAGAATTTGTGAAGCATAGTAATTGTCCTTATGAAACACCTTTGAATTTAAACTCACGGATAAGAATTTCTATTATCTTTATTCGCACTGTCTGAAAAACACTTCTTGTCCCGTAAAGAGCAAACAAGCACTCAGATCATTTGCACACTATTTTTACAAAGGAAAGGCACACTGAGATCTCTATTGTCAAGGAGTCAGCGGGTGGGTGGAGTAGATGATTTCAATACCAGCACAGTACACTACAAGTGGCCTTTCAGCTACACCAGCACCAGCACCAGCACCAGCACCAACACCAGCACCAGCACCAGTACCGGCACCGGCACCGGCACCGGCACCAACACCAGCACCAGCACCAGCACCAACACCGGCACCGGCACCGGCACCAGCACCAACACCAGCACCAGCACCAGCACCAGCACCAGCACCAGCACCGGCACCAGCACCAGCACCAGCACCGGCACCGGCACCGGCACCGGCACCGGCACCAGCACCAGCACCAGCATCAGCACCAGCACCAGCACCAGCACCAGCACCAACACCGGCACCAGCACCAGCACTAGCACCAGCACCAACACCGGCACCAGCACCAACACCAGCACCAGCACCAACACCGGCACCAGCACCAGCACCAGCACCAACACCAGCACCAGTGCACCCGTTACTGTTTATCCTACGAATGAAATCAATAGTGAGTGAGTTTAGTTTTACGCCGCTTTTAGCAATATTCCAGCAATATCACGGTGGGGGGACACCAGAAATGGGCTTCACACATTGTACCCATGTTGGGAATCGAACCCGGGTCTTCGGCGTGACGAGCGAACGCTTTAACCTCTAGGCTACCCGACCGTCCCAATGAAATCAATTAGAAAGAGTACAACTGTCATCAGCATTTACTGCCTTTGCTTCCACTATTAACCTCTCATGCCCCACTCGTCCAAATTACAACAGTTCATTTATTCAACATCTTACCACCTACCTTCCCCATTAAACTTTTATTTTGGGGGCCTCTAGCTTATATGGTCCATTGAGGGTGCCAGGAGTGTGAAATCCAAACCACCGGAAGCGCTCATGAAATCGGCAGGATTTCAGCACGCACGCACGAAAGCACACACACAGACCGCTGCGCTGGATTCATGCTGGTTTAAGCACGTTGCCGCTACACGTTCATCTAAAGGGCCGATGAATGGCAAAAGGAAACGGTATGCGAAAGTCATATTTATGTATTTTGTTTGTAGGAAACATTAGCTTCACTACACGTGTTCCAAGAGTGAGTACATATAATTTATCGTAATGCTAGTACATTAAGAAATCAGCACATGCACCAGGAGTAAACAGCATGTTTAAATGTTGAATTTAGAGACTTCGACGGCAAAGGTAGACAACTGCTGTGTGTGGTCAATATTAACATGTATTGGACAATACCAACATGTTCTAAATAGGTGTAGGTTTTCTTAGAAAACAGGATGTAAAATTTAAAAGCAAGTTCTGTTTTCTCCTGAGTGTGATTGAATGATGTTAGAAGGAAGGACTATTTTACAGGCGGCCTTTGTTTCCGCACTTCTAGCAGGTGAGTACACAGGGAAACAGAATTATTCCAAACTGGTCAGTACAGAGTGCGGTCCGGTGAGTACGCTGCCTTTATCGAAGTAGGGGGAAAAGGTGCAGTTGTTTGCTGTCAGTAGTCATATTATGTAGGCCATCGGCCCATGTCACAACATTATAGCATGTGAACTTATTGCGTTATCGTTCCCGTGTTGGATCCAGAATGTTGAGTGAGTGAGTACGAGTGTAAGGGTAGTGTGTAACGGGTGTGTGTAAGGTGTGTGTGTCAGGGGTGAGTGTAAGGTGTGTGTGTCAGGGGTGAATGTAAGGGTTGTGTGTAACGGGGTGTGTGTGTGTAAGGTGTGTGTAACGGGTGTGTGTGTCAGGGGTGCTTATGTACTCTCGGAACACGTTTCATGAACAAATATTGAAAGCTCTCAACATCCCTTGGCTTATTCAACGACATTGCGTACTCGATGACCCCAGCAACCTTGTTGCTAGGCTGACGTCACATGGCATTGTTTCGCCGTAGGATCTTGCAACACAATTCCACAAATTACGTCATCGGGTATTCTACCATGACATTGATGAATGCTTGATTCTGATTGGTTAAAAAGAGGTTTCCTTTTTGCTACGGAAACCCCTTTCAAATATATTAAGCCTTTTCACACAAAAAACGTGCGTATGAATACATAGATAGCCTACATATCGATTCACAGAAAATGGCTGCCGATCGATCACCCCCATATGAACTGTAAAACATATCTATATTTCCTCTAATACACGCTGGGTCTCTAATACCAGACGGGTCTCTAATACACGCCGAGTCAAGGGCTCTTGCGAAATTAATAGACGGCGTATAGTGTCAAATAGGGGAAATACGGTAGTTTGATATCGGATATTTGGGGCGTTCTAGGCCGCAACCCTGACTGCTTCGATGATGACATTAAAAGATTTAACGAAGGCATATCTTTTGCATACAACTGTTAGAGAAATGTTCTATGGTGAACAGAATCGGAACAAGTTAAGCTATTTCCTCATTGTAACAACCGACAATGAAAGTAAATTCTACCATGACATTGATGAATGCTTGATTCTGATTGGTTAAAAAGAGGTTTCCTTTTTGCTACGGAAACCCCTTTCAAATATATTAAGCCTTTTCACACAAAAAACGTGCGTATGAATACATAGATAGCCTACATATCGATTCACAGAAAATGGCTGCCGATCGATCACCCCCATATGAACTGTAAAACATATCTATATTTCCTCTAATACACGCTGGGTCTCTAATACCAGACGGGTCTCTAATACACGCCGAGTCAAGGGCTCTTGCGAAATTAATAGACGGCGTATAGTGTCAAATAGAGGAAATACGGTAGTTTGATATCGGATATTTGGGGCGTTCTAGGCCGCAACCCTGACTGCTTCGATGATGACATTAAAAGATTTAACGAAGGCATATCTTTTACATACAACTGTTAGAGAAATGTTCTATGGTGAACAGAATCGGAACAAGTTAAGCTATTTCCTCATTGTAACAACCGACAATGAAAGTAAAATATAACACCATAAAAATTGTTTGAAAAAACAACATCACATCAGCAGGGATAGTTAGTCAACGTGTTAATGTTGAACAGCATATCACACTGTGCATCAGTACTGGGTTGTCTTCTGGTTTCCTGCAATTCTTTAACAGCACTGTTACTGTTAACAATTTCTTTGGCAGCCATAACAGAGTGTAGTGCAGATACAGTGACAACCGGGACACGTTAGGACGGTTCTCATTTCAGGGTGGGGAGGTATAATTAAAAGATTCACACATCAAAATAAGTGAAAGACTTTCAAAGAGTGATATCTAATAAATTTTGTTGAGAAAATAATAATTGATCATTTTTTTGATAACTTTTTCTGAAACCCACGAACAGGTAATTTCATTATTGAAATAACCGACAATGAAAGTGAAATATAACATAAGAAAATGTGTTTGAAGACATTTTATTCATGACAACATGGTGTTTACAAACCTTTTTCTGATCGATATCCATTACCATCTCCGTCAACCACCACCGTTAGAATTTGGCAGGAGGGGATTTGAAAGTGCATCAGAAAACACTCCCTTTCGAAAGTCCACGAAAACAATGTCCCAACTGAAGTGACAGCTTATCAAACTTGATGAAATCCATTTCAGAACACGCACAATTATGAAAATTATACACGACGTACTATTTCTGGACCAGAAATGTCTAAGTTCTGTCACTATTTGGCTTTGGATCCGTGAAATCTTGAAATTGACAGGTCACACCATGCAGATTCCTCGTTTCAAAATATCCGGCTCGTCTGCAGCCTAAACAGCGGCTGTTCAGTCATACTCAGTTCCATTGGTAATCATATGGATGTACCAGCAGGCTCGATCAATCCCAGTAAATCTACAGGTAAATGTTGAACCACATCATAGATCGGGGTTGTCATCTTGCTTCTTTTAACTAGATCAAGTCAATGTAAACACATGATTGTCAGCCATTAACAGGTGTGAGTAACCGTGATTTAGGTCAAGTTCTGCCACATCCAAGTTCGGGGTGGAGAGGCATTTACTTTGATGTTATTATTGTTTACTGGGGGCAATTGCTATCTAACTAATAACTCTTAGACATGTTAAATGTGTATTAGAATGTTATTTCATAAAGTTTGCTGTAGAAATATATTCGTTTAGCATTTTAAAACCTTTTTCTATTACCCGTCACCCCTACAATAGAAATGATGGCATGTTCGATTTCCAAGAAATGACCGCTCTCACAAATTTCCGAGAAACGACAGCCAGTCCACAGTGTTCAATAGTGTGCAACAGTTTGAAAGAAATTAAAACATCTCTCTTTGGATTAAGTTAGGAGTGTTATTTGTCAACTTCGTTTGAAAAACTATGTGTTTTGAACACTTATTTTGAACTACTCACGACTTTGGTGTTTTTTAATCTTGAACTTTAGTAATATTTGTTACATATATAACTACCTGTGACCACTTTTCGGAATGTTCTAAGATCACGGACCTGTGCACCTGTGTTATTACGCGTTGCAAGAGAGCGCCGTTTTCAAAGCGTTGTTGCCGTCATGGTAGAATGGAGATAAACCTACTGTGTTTTGAAATTTGATGTAGTCCCACTGTAGAATAGAAACCTCTTTATTATAATTTGGAACCTCGCGCTAAAGCGCTCGGTTAAAAATTATAATAAAGAGGTATCTATTCTACAGTGGGACTACATCAAATTTCAAAACACAGTAGGTTTATCTCCTAATTGTGACGCTAAAACCAATTTTATGAAACTCATGAATAGTTGTGGTATGTGACTCGCTTTCGCTCGTCAGATACCAGAACTATTCACTCGTTTCATAAAATTGGTATTACACGGGAGCTCGTTTAGTATTCTATATTTCCTTTTTGAAATTAGCTTTTTATTTCAGAAATCCCTGTTACAAATAGAGGCTCCTGCCCAAGGTAACAGGAGCCCCATGTAGTTGTTGTTGTTTGTTGTTTAACGCCGCACTCACCGATATTCCAGCTATATGACGGCTGCCTGTAAATAATCGAGTCTGGACCAGACAATCCAGTGATTGACACCGTAAGCGTCGATCCACGCAATTGGGACACGATGCCATGCATCAACCAAGTCAGCGAGCCTGACCACCCGATCCCGTTAGTTGCCTCTTACGACAAGCATGGGTTGCTGAAGACCTATTCTACCCCGGATCTTCACGGGTCTCGTTCGATAACAATTTAGCTTGATTGGGTTTGATAAACTTAATTGTTAACGCATGGGTGTGGGTGTGGGATGGGTGACTGGTGTAAGAAAGGATTTCTTTTCTTTCTTTCTTTTTTAAAGAAAAAGGGTCAAGGACAAAATATTCACTCTCTGTAGATGTGGATGCAACAGATGTAGGATTCACCGTACAAACAAAAGACAAAGAAGGTCAATTGAAATTTAAGCAAATAAATTAGTAAGTATGTCACTCACAAGGAGAATAGCTGAGCATCCATTTCTGATCAAACTTCACTTGTTGCAGAAATACCTGTTCTTCTCAACGCAATATCTGTCCTGAAGAACCCGTTTGAAATGTGTCACGCTTAGAGTGGTGTTAGAAACTTTGCATTTGTAAGTGTAAAATTTTGTCAGGTCAAAGGTTTCATTTGAAAGACAATTCTCTTTGAGGCCAAAAATAACAAGCTGAAGGCTAAGGTTTAGATTGCACACACGGGTACACTTCTCTTTTAAAAAGTCTGAAAATAACCGCCCCTGGTAGGGTAGGGTAGGGTAGGGTAGGGTAGGGTAGGATAGTGATGATGGGATGATGTGACGATGATGGGATGATGTGACGATGACGGGATGATATGATAGTACGGGATGATGAGGATTCCCGTGATGCTAGTATGAAACGCTTGTTCCGCCGAGCAGGGAACAGGTGTCCAGAAAGACACGTTTTGTTTCTCCCAAATGTCCAGCCAAATGTAGCTTAAACATTGCTGACTGCAGCATCAAACTGTTCACCCCACGGGTGCATTACACACAATTCGAAATGTGGTGTTCAATAACAGATAATTTTCATGGAAACAGTTGTCCAACTCAGAAGTAGCCTGAATATACCGTTATTCCCGTGTGTCCCCCAGCAGCCACAGCCTCCCCTGCCATGTACAGCGCTGCCCTAGGCACTGTCCCAAGCACCGTCCAGTACTTGTCGCCTACATGGGCCTTCACCCCCGTCACATACCGGTCTGGCCAGGACACCACCCGCAGGTAGGTAGCACTCCAGTTGATCAACCCAGAGGGATAGGTCAGTTTACTTATTGTCATATATCAGACCTGGTACTACACACTTCACCTCCTATACCAACATACCTTGTAAAACACACTTGACTTCTCATATCAGACCTTGTACAACACAGTTGACTTCTCATATCAGACCTTGTAAAATACAGTTGACTTTTCACATCAGACCTTGTAAAACACAGTTTACTTTTCATATCAGACCTTGTTAAATACTGTTTATTTTTCATATCAGACCTTGTAAAATACGGTTGACTTTTCATATCAGACCTTGTAAAATACGGTTGACTTTTCATATCAGAACTTGTAAAACACAGTTGACTTTTCACATCAGACCTTGTAAAACACGTGACTTTTCATATCAGACCTTGTAAAACACACTTAATTTTTCACATCGAACCTTGTGTCTGACCTGATACTATATACGTTATTTCTCATATCAGACCTTGTACCATATGACACTTTCTACACATTTTACAAATAATTATATAAAACCTGCAACAACACAGCTTGGTGTCGTATTATATAATAGACCGTCTCTGTGGTGTAATGGTGGAGCGTCGGCCCGGAGAGTCGGTAACCCCGGGGTTCGATTCCCGGCAGCGTCACACCGGGCACTCGGCATTAAGGGACTAAAACAAGGATTTGTCGGCTCGGATTCAGTATACCGCGTCCGAGTGGGGTCTTCATGTTATCTCAGTTGGCTAGCACTATAAAATTGGCACCAGTCCGGACTAGTACAAGCATCCACACACACCTGCATGCACGTCGCTGTATAGGTGCAATAATCTTGGACACGACGTTAAAATCCCATTTCTCCTCGCCTTTTATAATATAATACGTTGTGCTACAATATCAACTGATAGTGTAATTATTATACGTTGCAATACATGTATAATTAGTATTTAATTTTAGTAGATAAATTGATAGATAGGTTAATTATTATGCATACCACCTTTATTAATTGTCGGATTTATGAGAATGATATATATAAAAATGCATTTCAAAAAGTAGGTTCACCTTCTACCAAGTGACTACATCACTTCTATTTAGAAGCCACGCATGACACACACTATCCAAGTGGTTATAATGCATTGCAACCCGGACACTTCCGAGCTGAAGTCGTGTTTGATAGACAAGTATAAGACGTTAACCACATACTACCAATGTCAAAGGAAACCTTAAAATAGTGAGTACCTATAGTCTTACGCACCTTTCATCAACATTGCATCAATCATGACATCCCAAATAGGCTTCACACATTATGTCCATTTTGGGAATCGAACGCTTTCATCACTAGGCTCCACCTCCCCACCCCACCCCTTCCCAACACACACACACACCCGACACAGCACCACCACCACGGACCTCACGACGACCAACGCTCACAGTGTATACATGTACGTCTGCCAACACCCAAGTCAGTTTGACTTAAAGAAATTTATTTTGCAGATCCTTTGAAAAATCCTGGATCATTGACACAGGAAATCAACAACGCAGTGTCCTGGTGAGATTTGTCGAGTCAACAATAAATTGCCCGAATGACTTCATCAAAATATTTGATGGTAAGAATTGTCAACAATCCACAGATACAACGGAAAGTAGTATAAGATTAATTTGTGTGGTATGATTACTTTATGTTTTCATTGGCGTGATATGTTTTCGCATTTTGATTGTTGGGTAAAGAATTGTATTTTATATTTACACATAATGTAAGGCAAACAAAATATTTTTATTTCTTCTTTTGCTTTCTTCCTATATATTAAATAACTATCTATATATAAATTTATTCCTCTTTTAAATGACCATGACGAAACCATGGGTGTCTCCTTCACAGATAAGCTTTTTGGGAAATAGTGTCCAATACCTGGTCCATGCTCTCACGCCTTCACAGATTAGCTTGTGTGGAAATAGTGTCCAATACCTGATCCATACTCACACACTTTCACAGATAAGCTTTTGGGGAAATAGTGTCCAATACCTGGTCCATGCTCTCACGCCTTCACAGATTAGCTTGTGTGGAAATAGTGTCCAATACCTGATCCATACTCACACACTTTCACAGATAAGCTTTTGGGGAAATAGTGTCCAATACCTGGTCCATGCTCTCACACTTTCACAGATAAGCTTGTGTGGAAATAGTGTCCGATACCTGGTCCATGCTCTCACGCCTTCACATATTAGCTTGTGTGGAAATAGTGTCCAATACCTGCTCCATACTCACACGCTTTCACAGATAAGCTTTTGGGGAAACAGTGTCCAATACCTGGTCCATGCTCTCACGCCTTCACAGATTAGCTTGTGTGGAAATAGTGTCCAATACCTGGTCCATGCTCTCACGCCTTCACAGATTAGCTTGTGTGGAAATACTGTCCAATACCTGCTCTATGCTCTCTGGTTTCAGGAACTTCAACCAGCAGTTCTGTCCTGGGCAACTTGTGTGATAACGGTACCAAAACTTTCCAGAGTACTGGAGAAACAGTACGGATCTTGTTCCACTCAGAAGGTGCAGCTCCCGGAACTATCAAGTTCAAGTACAGAGCAGCAGTTCCTACTAGTAAGCTTCCTCTTCATTGCAGTGCTTGCAGTATGGTCATAATAAAAATAATATATACTAGTAATAAAAGGCTATTTGTTACCCCGGTCACTGGATCAATGTGCACTCAAGAATCATTCCCAGCTCCCTTGTCAGTATACAACCCAAGCTGCCTGTTAGGCGCTAGAAGGTTAACAGCCACATTTTGAACAAAGTCACTTGTCCAAGCATCTTCCTGAGGCAAGAGAGTTAACTGACAGTTAAACAGTCCAGTTTCCACCCTTGCCGAACTAGGCTGGTATTATGGAGTTACATATTGGCTGGACAAACGAGTCTGTGCATAGTCCAATCAAAATCTCGCAACGAAATCGAAATCAGGTTCGTAAACTGTCGTGCAGATTTCGGTCGATTGCAGGATTTGCAAAGCATGTGCACCGTCAACTCGTTGTCAACAGACTTCCAAACCGTTTCATGTTTTTAATCAAGGTGCTCGCGTGATTTGATGCACTTCGCGTTGTAAGACCCGTTTTATCACAATGTAGATCTTGATTATCGATCCTATCGTCCTGACTGGGCGCCGCCATTTTGTTTGAAACAAATGCAAGTGATGGAATCGGATTGGTCCATAGGAGAGGCTCAGAAGGGACATAACTCATAATAACCACTGGTGGCGCTACGATCGAGCCCAGGAATTCCAGCCTAGTTCGGCAAGGGTGGAAACTGGACTTTTGAAGTCAGTTAACTCTCTTGCCTCGGGAAGATGGCCGAGTACTTCCGGAAAAGGGCGATGGAGAAGCATTCGCGGTTAAACCTCGATCTAGTTTTGTTTTTTCCACATTCTGCTAACCATGGTTTATTGTGCCAGCCGGTAAACATCAAAGATGAGAAGTGATATGTTTGGTTGAGTAACCTGATAAAAACTCGGGGGTATTATAGAAGCCCACCAACCTATATTTGTCGCGACATTGCATGCCATCGCATCCAAATTGGATTGATGCTGTTGGCACCAGTCACTGGGTTGTTTGGTACATATCGCCACCATATGTAACGTTAACCAACAAACAAAACAATCGATAGGAAAGAACAACAATAATAACATAACTGATAATGTCATTTCAAAGTTGTAACGCATACGTTCTGTGTGGTGTATTCCAGGTACAAGCTCTGCAGTCAAGATCGGCCTGCTTGTCGGAGGGTCGTTTGGAGTCATCATCTGCTTTGCGTTCCTTGGTTTCTTCATCTTCTGCCTCTACAGAAAGCGGAAAGGGGAAAAAGATTTGATAAACACACCAATTATTTGTGATAGCTCCGCTTCAGGAGGCCGCGACAATGACGGCTATGAAGACGTGTTCTTGCATGCCGATATGACGGAGGAAAGTGGAGATAATCAAGTCAGATCAGGGCCAAGGGGAGGCAACTCTCGTCGTGGTGATCATGACACCGAACACATGGGCAGGCCTGTATTTAATAATAATGCATACCAAGCAGGTGAACGAAATGAAAAGGAAGATGAACTTCGTCATGGAGACAAACCTATACATATTCATGAAAATAATCAAAGGATGGAACGACACCTTGACCATGGTAACAGATCCCGCCCAGATCACCCTGACGCTGAACGCTCTGATGGGCCACAAGATGACCATGACATGCATCAAGCACGGGGACGCAAAACAAGGGGTGATTGGCCTGGTCGCGATGATCGTGGTACACGTGGCGGGCGCGGTGATCACGTTGTAGGACGTCATGGTGGTGCACGGGAGGCATACAGTGAAGGCAAACGTGACGTTACTGCCGGGAGCAACTCTTCCCGGATTTTTGCAGATGTCGAAATAAACGACATGGAGCCCGTGATACGAGGAGGGAAACTGATTCTCAGACAGAGCAGCATGGAAGGGGACATCATATAATGATTGCATAAAACATATATGAAAACTTATATATTACTGACCATTTATGAGGGCAATTTGTCGTGCTATATGGACCCAAGAAAGTCATACTTACCGAAGACACGTTCTGTCTCACATGACAACTACCCGTTTCCCTCTCTCTGTCTCACATGACAACTACCCGTTTCCCTCTCTCTGTCTCACATGACGACTACCCGTTTCCCTCTCTCTGTCCCACATGACAACTATATACGTTACCTTCTCCCTGTGTCACATGACAACTATACGTTACCTTCTCTCTGTGTCACATGACAACTATACGTTACCTTCTCTCTGTGTCACATGACAACTATACGTTACCTTCTCTCTGTGTCACATGACAACTACCCGTTTCCCTCTCTCTGTCTCACATGACAACTACCCGTTTCCCTCTCTCCGTCTCACATGACGACTACCCGTTTCCCTCTCTCTGTCCCACATGACAACTATATACGTTACCTTCTCCCTGTGTCACATGACAACTATGTTACCTCCTCTCTGTGTCACATGACAACTATACGTTACCTTCTCTCTGTGTCACATGACAACTATACGTTACCTTCTCTCTGTGTCACATGACAACTATACGTTACCTTCTCTCTGTGTCACATGACAACTATACGTTACCTTCTCTCTGTGTCACATGACAACTATACGTTACCTTCTCTCTGTGTCACATGACAACTACCCGTTTCCCTCTCTCTGTGTCACATGACAACTACCCGTTTCCCTCTCTCTGTCTCACATGACATCCCACACGGTACCCACCCTGCCTCACATGACAACCCACACGGTACCCACCCTGCCTCACATGACAACCCACACGGTACCCGAGCTGCCTCACATGACAACCCACACGGTAACCACCCTGCCTCACATGACAACCCACACGGCACCCACCCTGCCTCACATGACAACCCACACGGTACCCGAGCTGCCTCACATGACAACCCACACGGTAACCACCCTGCCTCACATGCCAACCCACACGGTACCCACCCTGCCTCACATGACAACCTACACGGTACCCGACCTGCCTCACATGACAACCCACACGGTACCCACCCTGCCTGACATGACAACGCACACGGTACCCGACCTGCCTCACATGACAACCCACACGGTACCCACCCTGCCTCACATGACAACCCACACGGCACCCACACCTATGCTACATTTTACGTTGTATATTTCTGATGTATTTTTATATTTTTGACCCCTTAGTACACTTAATTTCTTCCCAATACACAAATAATTATGTCTGGAAATGTGTATTCGCATTTCAGACGTGTTTCATTCTACATGTATATCACATACATCATACATAAATCATTTATATATTTTGTTGAAAAATATAACAGTAATTGTTCAGCAATGTATCAGACAATAAATTGATACAATACATGTGTTTATAAAATTCCTTATTGCCTAATAATACAATATGCTAAAGGATAATGTGAAATGTATCAGACATTGTTATAGCTTCTTGAATACCCTCAGACTTACATCTGGTTTCGATTGCCCTCGTGGGTACAGTGTATGAAGTGAAACCCGCGTTCGATTGCCCACATGGGTACACATTGAAGCGAGACCTGCGTTCGATTGCCAACATGGGTACACATTGAAGCGAGACCCGCGTTCGATTGCCCACATGAGTACACATTGAAGCGAGACCCGCGTTCGATTGCCCACATGGGTACACATTGAAGCGAGACCCGCGTTCGATTGCCCACATGGGTACAATGTGTGAAGCGAGACCCGCGTTCGATTGCCCACATGGGTACACATTGAAGTGAGACCCGCGTTCGATTGCCCACATGGGTACACATTGAAGCGAGACCTGCGTTCGATTGCCCTCGTGGGTACAATGTGTGAAGCGAGACCTGCGCTTGATTGCCCTCGTTGGTACAATGTGTGAAGCGAGACCCGCGTTCGATTGCCCACGTGGGTACAATGTGTGAAGCGAGACCTGCATTTGACATGCCGAGATCAGAGGAGGTGAAATGGTGTTTCACATGGCTTTCAAGATTGTTGCACTTATATAGCAACGTGTGTGTGCGTGCGTGCGTGCGTGCGTGCGTGCGTGCGTGATGAATACCCCACTGAGACAAAGTATTATGACTCCGAGCCAACCTGTCCTTGTTTTATCCCCTTAATGCCGAGCGCCAGGCAGGGTAACAACAAGTTCCATCTTTTAACGTCTGTGGGTATGACGCGGCAAGGGGATCGAACCACGCCCTTCACAGACGCTCTATCCGTTAGAGACGTTATGGTCTAGAAACGTAATGAAGACATCGTGTGTCTTAAACCAAACGTTCTATTGTCACTCAATTTCATATCATATTTGGAGATTACAAGTATCCGTATAAGGCCATTTAATACAGTCGTGAATAACCCGTGAAGATTTGAGTATAGAATAGGTCTTCAGCAACCCATGCTTGCCGTATGAGGCGATTATGCTTGTCGTAAGAGGCAACTAACGGGATCGGGTGGTCAGACCCGCTGAATGCATGTCATCATATCCCACTTGCGTAGATCGATGCTTATGGTTTCAAGCACTGGATTGTCTGGTCCAGATTGAATTATTTACAGACCGCCATCATATAAATGTAATATTGCTGAGTGTGGCGTTAAACAAACAAACAAACAAACAATAATACATCTGGTGTGTGAGACCGGTTTATCAGCATATATGGTGTAGCATTATACCTCACATGCAAAACGAACAAAGATGGAACACCTTTTCCATAGCAATAAAATATTGTAAAGAACGGTCTTAGTCTTAAGTCTTATCCTTCAATAAAGTGTCACATAGTTTGAAAGTGAAGGTAGACAGAAAACCATGTATACCATTATTTCCAGCCAGTCTCGCCATTGTCTTGAAGGGTTGTAGACCTACACGTGTACGAAAGGCTGGAGCTCTGATGTGACAATACTCCTATATGTAGATCTACAATAGCACAAATTGGAATGTCTTCAAAACTGAAGCATCATCCCGATCGTCTGCCTCGTCATCACCGGCGTTCCCCATCGTCTCCAACTTCTTCGTTGACGTCAAATTAAATCATCGTTATCGTTTTTATCCCCATCACTATCATAATTTTCAACGTCGTCGTCACATTTATTATGATAATGTCACAACTATTATGATAATCATCACAAGTATCGCCATCATTATTTCAATCGTGACACAGACTCATCAGCAGCAGCAGTAGCAGCAGCAGCAACTTCAACATCATCCTTATCAACATCTGAATTTTCATTCACCCTGTTCACTTCGTTGTGATGAAGATGGTCATTTTACGTATATTTTTGTGATTATCGTCGTAACATGGACGGCATTATACCTTGATTTAATTAGGTATAGTGTCGTTATGTATGTGAGGTATGACAAGTACTACCCTAGACATTATAGACGGATAGCTGCACCTTCTCCTGATGCGGCTACCCCACTAGTGTTGCTTGTTGCCTCGCCTTGCATGCTGCAGGCTCGGGTCCTTTGTAGAGCTGACACACCACCTCCAGCAAGTGGTTGTAGGCGTTGTACTGGATCACTTTGCTGTGTTGACCGTTGACGTTGATGTGGGGCACGTAGTGGATGTGGCCGGCGTGGGTGATCTGTCCCATCTGGTAGTGGAGCTGACTTCCCTCGGTACTGTTGTAGCATGTGAGAATCTCAGGCTCAGACATGTTGTTCGCCAGGGCGCACTGTCAACAGAAGTGGACGAGTGAGTGAGTGATTGATTGAGTGAATGAGTGAATGAGTGAGTGCACCTCTTTGATCTGTAGTTCAATATGCGAGTGAGAGTGATTTGACCTCTCTTTGAACAGTATTTCTGTAATATTACACTGTGTCAGTTTAATGTAGCTCATAGTAAGAGTGAGTGAATATGGTTTTACGCCGCTTTTAGCAATATTCAAGCAATATCACGGCGATGGACTCCAGAAATGGGCTTCACACATTGTAACCAGGGGAAACGAACCCGGGTCTTCGGCGAACGCTTTAACCACTAGGCTACCCCACCGTCCCCAGATCATGGAAAGACAAAGGGATACAACTGTGCACAGCAAATCTCGGCGCCTCAGACAAAATGGTCATCATATAGACGATGATTATATAACCAAGATATTCACTGAACAATATGACTAGGTAAAACCGCTTCTTTAAAAACACCTGCATATAGAGGCGCGCTATTCCCTTATGGCAGTATAGATCTGTCTAAGTACAGTAGACTACGTAAAACGAACACGCTTATAACGAACTGACGGATATAACGAACTTATTTTTAGTCCCGACCATTTGTTGTATATATGCTGTATGTATGCTTATAACGAACTACGGTTATTACGAACTAAAATTAGTGGTCCCCTCGAGTTCGTTATAACCGTAGTTTACTGTACTATGTAAGACATGTAATTGTGATTTTTACAAATAAGTCCTGTCACGACAAAATAAAATTATCATTTGGACTCAAACACCAAAATTTTCAAACTACGCACGGTAAATGATGGTCATGATCAAGTTCAAAGGTTAATGATAATAATGAGTTAGGCGCCCAGACAGACCTTACTGAGAGCCTCCATCTGATGTCCGTGCCTCGTGTTCACCTCCATACAGTTGATCATCGGCATGTACTCCCGGGATTCGTACGACGTCATGTTCAGAACACAAGCCTGTAAACATATGTGCATGACCTCACACCACAAACACGCATATCAAATCAACAACAAAAAAGGAAGAAAGAACACGATAAATATTTTGAGTTTAATCTCTCTTTTAATCTACAATGTAAAGAATAAATTACTTATTACGAGTACAAACGGGGCTAAACTAACGCATTCCTGAAAATTAAAAGCCCGTTCCCTTTTGATACTGTCAGTGCCGCTGTCATTCGTGACCAACTCGTGTTATTCCGGGAAAAGCCGAATAGGTTCCGGAAAGGGGCGAGTGGTGACGAATGAGCCTCTGTTAGATCTTCTGCTTCTATCACAACATAGCTCCATATAAAAATGTTCATAATAAAGAATTTGGTCGTTTTTACAATCAGTTCTTCATAACCGAATTTCACTACATACGATAAGATAATATCTGAAAATTGACAACTTCTTTACCGACTTTACGCCATTTTCGACATAGGTTCACAACGGATATTCTGAGGTAGTGGGGTTAGGTTTGTTTTTGGTACTGCAACTACACCTACGTTTTTTATTCTGATAGGAGGTACAAAACCTTTTGAGGGGGCAAAAAAAACCACCAACTGTTGTTTTTGCTGTCACTGCATCTACGATTTTTACTCTTAAACGGGTGAGGTGAAACGGGTTTTAACGTCGCGTTCAAGATTATTGCACTTATATAGCTACATGAATGCACGTGCGTGCGTCTGTGCGCGCGCGCGTGCGTGTGTGTGCTGCTTTTCCCTTCAGGTGTGTGTGTGTGTGTGTGTGTGTGTGTGTGTGTGCGTGTGCGTGTGCGTGTGCGTGTGCGTGTGTGTGCGTGGCTGCTTTTACTAGTCCGGACTAATGCCTATTATATAGTGTTAGCCCACTGAGATACCATGCCGCAGTTTATCATGAATACCTCACTCAGACACAGTGTACTGACCCCGAGTCAACCAGTCCTTGTTTTAGTCCTTTAATTCCGAGCGCCAGACAGGGTAACAACAAGTAGCAACTTTTAACGTATTTTGGTATGACGCGCCCGGGGATCGAACCCCCGACTTTCCGCTCTCCGGGCAGACGCTCTACCACTAGACATCAGAGGCGGTCTACTCTTAAACAAGGAACCAAACCTTTTGGTGAAACCACGAAACGTTACGCTTCAAGACATCTAAAGTGTCCAGTGGGTGAGTTGTGTTTAACGACGCTTTGAACAGTATTCCAGTGTCTGCTTGGTGTGGGAGGAAATCCCGAGGTGATGCAGGTCTCAGACGTTGACTCATATTTCCAGAGAAAGAGTTTTTTGGTGAAACCGGAGGACAAAATATTGTTTCCAGCATTTTCTGCAACACGTTTAATTAATTCCCGAAATGGGGCGAAATGGTAGCCTAGTGGTTAAAGCGTTCGCTCGTCTCGCCGAAGACCAGGGTTCGATTCTCGACATGGGTACCATATGTGAAGCCCATTTCTGGTGTCCCCCGTCGTGATATTGCTGGAATATGGAATAATGCTAAAAGCGGCGTAAAACCTCACTCACTCACTCACTCACTCACTCACTCACTCACTCACTCACTCACTCACTCACTCACCAATTCCCGAAATACAGAAAGTGACAAGGCCAACTGTACTCACGGCGATGGCGTTCCCGACACACTCGGAAGGTCCGTGTTGACAGTTGTACATCACCCACTTGCCGTTCTCCTCCTTCTCCTGCAGTTAAAAATGCGACTCGTAAGATTTGGTGATTCAGTCACTACACCGGCAACACCTTAACCAACTCCTTAAACTACGGTTATAACGAACACGCTTATAACGAACTCACGGATATAACAAACTTACTTTTTGGTCCCGGCTTCTTGCTGTAGTCATGCTGTATATGTACTTACAACGAACTACGGTTATAACGAACTAAAATTAGTAGTCCCTTTGAGTTCATTATAACCGTACTTTACTGTACAACCAAACCTTAACGCATTTCATATCGTTTTATCTTACTCTATACGAAGATATGTATGTTTGTAAGTTTCTTACTGAAAATTGAAATTGACGTAGGAACTCTGCCGCTCTATACTTAAAGGGGATATTGTTTTGGGGTGAAAACATCAGTGGCTATGTTACAATATCGTGTTTGTTTGTTGTTTAACGCCGCACACAGCACTATCAAAGCTCTATCACGGCGGTCTGTAAATAATCGATCCTGGTGCACACAATCCAGTGACTGACATCATGAGCATCGATTAGGATAGGATGACCCGCATCAACCAAGTCAGCGAGCCTGACCACCCGATCCCTTTAGTCGCCTCTTTCGACAAGCACGGGTTGCTGAAGAAAGAAAATTAATGTGATGTGAAGAAAACAAACAAAACAAAATATTTACCAATATTTTCAAATGATCTTTATATATATATATATATATATATATATATATATATATATATATATATATATATACGTACTTGTTTAAAAGCGTTATCTTATATAGACAGCAGACAGCGTGAGTATAGTCGCATGTTATTTATCACTCACGTGCACCAACTGTCGTAACGTTGTAATATGTCACTCACGTGGGCGAAGCCGTAGGGTACGATGGTGACGTTCATCACGTTGTCGGGGAGGAGTTTCATCGTTGGATACAGCTGTGTTGTCAGAAACTTCCTACTGAACGGGCACATCGACTCATAGTAGGTCACGACTTCCACCGGCTCGGGCCCGTCACAGTCCTGTCAATGGGTGAGTGAGTGAGTGAGTGAGTGAGTGAGTGAGGTGAAGAGGGAGGGAGTTCAAATTTACCTTAACGTGTTTAAATTCACACCGAAAGAAAGATTTTGCATGTTTATTATCTAAACACGTTTAGTACCGAAACACCTGGGAAGGGCTAAGATCTGGCTTCGTACCCACATCCCAAACATGAAGATCAAAATGTTTTCATAATCTGAACATATTTAGACGAATTCACGAAAAACTGGTGAATATATCATATGTGACCTATCACATGATCATAGTTTTATATATCCTCTAATTCAAATATATTTTTACATTACTTACCATTCTCTTACCACTGTTGACTGTCATTTTTATATGTGACCTATCACATGATCATAGTTTTATATATCCTCTAATTCAAATATATTTTCACATTACTTACCGTTCTCTTACCATTGTTGACTGTCATTTTGCCTTAAATAAGACAGCATGCAAGTCTGATACCCGTATTTGCTTTCTGAGCAATCCCAGAGCAACTATTCCAAGTGGAAAAACTGCCAAACATTTATTTGGCTCTAAACACTTTTAGCCTATGAACACGTTTAGATCCTAAACATTATTTTCCGTGAAACAAGGCGCCGAATAATTCTTTTTTTTTTCACAACCCATTTTTCGTGACAAATCTCTTTTGGTAAAAACCAGAGGACAAATTATTTTCCGAGGTGTTTTTTAACACATTGTTTTCGTTTACGGTCCCCCATGTGATGCACGACACCCCAAAGGAATTGTCCCCATACTCACACTGCACACTGCGGCGCCGGACACAACACCCACAACAACGGCTACGACAAACACGACTCTCAACACCATCATTGTCGACGAGACTCACTGCTATAGCGTTGTATACTCTAAAGACCTTAGCTTAATTCAGGCACCTGGTCTTATCATCTTGGTCACAGGATTTTGTCATAATAACACTTACTGGACCTATCCCTGACCTAGTCAGTGTTTTGAGATAGACTGACATTTATAAACTGGGCGGCAAAAGAAAGTAAAGGTCGAGTTCCATGATCGATAAAAAATAATAAGAAGAGGTTTTGTTGTGAATTATGATATAACATTTATACGGCTAACATGCACGTGCAGTTTATGCCATAGGCGGAAAACCTGTTTCACCATTGTTTTGTCACCGCACAAGCGCCGTCAAAGGTGGCACGTTTGGGTGAGGTGTTTTTTGGTACCTGTTCCTGGGCAGTCATATTCCCAATACCCACTTTCCACTAGTTATCGCTGTTTTTTAGGAAAATTACAAATTGCCAACCTATACTTTCTTTTGCCGCTTAGTTTATTATGTACACTTTTTAAATAGCAAGGTCACACTTAAATGAATAGTTGTTTGTTTTTTTCCTCGAGTCGCCGTACATTTTCTTCAGACTTTGAAAGATATTGCCACGTTTATGCATGGACGACATTCCCTTCGAGGAAAATGTGTCCTCGGCCAAGTTCTGAGGAAAATATGTATGTACTTCTGAACGTATACGGGACCACACATGGACGCTGCCATACCAGGCACTGAGATGCTGAGATGCTGCACCCTGGTCGGGTCATTATAGTAGTGTAGATGTAGTTTAGAGATCCGGGTCAAAATTGGTCTTCAGCAACACATTCTTGTCTTCCAAGTAAAGATCAGGGTTAGAATTGGTCTTCAGCAACACATGCTTGTCTCCCAAGTGATGAACAGGGTCAGACATTAGTCTTCAGCAACACATGCTTGTCTCCCAAGTGATGAACAGGGTCAGACATTAGTCTTCAGCAACACATGCTTGCCTCCCAAGTGATGATCAGGGTCAGACATTGGTCTTCAGCAACACATGCTTGTCTCCCAAGTGATGATCAGGGTCAGACATTGGTCTTCAGCAACAGATACTTGTCTCCCAAGTGATGATCAAGGTCAGAATTGGTCTTCAGCAACACATGCTTGTCTCAGTCAGTGAAGGTCCGGGTGAGAATATGTCTTCAGCAACCTGTGCTTGTCGTCCTAGAATGGACGAGGACACGCAATCAAACCAAGTCACTGATTGGCTGGGGTTTGTGTTTGAGACAATATTTATTTAGTCAGAGCCCGAAAACGTATACTTCTTTTCTTCTCGGTTTATTTTTCGTTCCACCCAACATGCCCCGTAATACTTTTTTTTGTAAAGCCTGAGAACAAATTTTGTTCAAGTCATTAATAACAACGCTATATAAAATTGATCATCAGCAATACCAATACCAATAACGGGCTCGGGCGGTCAGACTCGGTGACTTGGTTGATGCATGTCATTGTATCCCTATTTCATAGATCGATGTTCACGGTGTCAATCATCAGATTTTCTGGGCCAGACTCGATTATTTACAGACCTCCGTCATATAGCTGGAATATTGCTGCGGCGTTAAATAAAAAAACCACAAAACACAACAAATAACACAATCACACATAAACTGTGATCGTTTAGATTGGCAGATACTTGAAAATTGATGCTAACTATGATTCCCCTGTACTACAGTTCTAGCTGGGAACGAAAACTTACCAGACATTTCTCTATATCTTGAGGGGCGGTCGGGTAGGCTAGTGGTTAAAGCGTTCGCTCGTCACGCCGAAGACCCGGGTTCGATTCCCGACATGGGTACAATGTGTGAAGCCCATTTCTGGTGTCCCCCGCCGTGATATTGCTGGAATATTGCTAGAAGCGGCGTAAAACTATACTCACTCACTCTATATATTGTGCAAAAAAACCCACAAAACTTGCAGGGTGGAAATAAGTTTTTATTTGCATAAATTATAATTTATAAAACAGACAAGGTTTGTGGGTACATCTTCATCCCAGTAACCCATCAAAGAGTGTTGAGCTAAATACATGTACTTATATTAAATCTTAATAGTAAATGGAGAAATTATGAATCTGTTGGTTCTGATTCAACAGATTCGAGGGATTTCCCCGACTTGAACCAGTTGTGGTTGATGTATATTTCTCTATAAGTTTGCATAATGGCTTTAGTTGGCGTCAGTTTTGTTGTTTAATGTGCACGTTAAGAATGACCAGTGAATTACTGACCCAGAATAAACTCAGCTCAGACCCAAACGCCAATAGCTTGACGTCATTATACTGGTCTAAATTATAAAGAAATTCATAGTTAGCTGTGTCAATCGACAAAGTTGTTCTTACCAATCACATCAATCAGTGGGTATTCAGGGTTAGAACCAGCAACCTAGGCTGGTCAATGGCCCTGGGTATTCAGGGTTAGGCTAAAGGCAGCGCAAAACCATACCCACTCACTTAATTCTTAAAGTAGTACAGTCGTACTGAAACAGGACACTGGGTTTACAGGTTATCATCAACACAGCTGGAGATAAGTCACGATTTGAAACTAGACATGAAATCGAGGTGTTTTCTATCGACACGTCTGTTAAGCTGGTTTTGGTTTTGAAAGGATATTGTTTGCTTAAAGTCTCAACAGTTTGTAAAAAGTAATATGTGAAATGTGAGTGAGTGAGTAAGTTGGGTTTAACGCCGCTTTTAACATTATTCCAGTTATATGAAATGTAAATGTGTGCTGAAAAAAAGCAAATTTATTGATTTTCAAGTTAAATATGCTGCAAAAGAATTTGTTTGATTTAAAAAAAAACAACCCTCCGTTCTCAACCACTTGGTCCGTCCCCGACACATGAATTATGCACAGCGGTTGACGACGGGTCTATTTTTAGCTATCTGGTATTTCCAACTCTGACTTCGCTTGAGGTATGTATATGCATGATACTCCCACAAATTATATAATAATAAGTAATCATTATGTAATTATAACCCGTCTCTGCTTTATGCCAGGTTCAGTCAAGTCTTAGAATTGAACGTAGATGCCATGTTTAGTCGGCGCGTATCGTCAAAGCATGCAGGAATGAAAATCGAGGCGACGTACGGAGGCCTACCTCGACTGTCGATATCACCTTTCTTATCAAATATTTCTTTTGACATTACATACTGATCTATCAGATAAATAAGAACAGGATTTATTCATCCTATTTATTCATATGAATAAATTGAAAATGGACGATGCAGCAAACATATTTATTGACCTGTGAATGCCGCGTGGTGTACATGTACATCCGGGTCATTCGCATGAGCGGGGAAGTTTAAAATGGAGTACATGATATTTTCCTCGTCCACCACCGCCACGACACAGATCACCTCAGCTTCCACACATATCACCAGATATACAGACCACCCTATCTACCACACATACTACCTTATCCACCACACAGATCAACTCATCCACCAAACAAACCACCACCGCCACGACACAGATCGCCTCATCCTCCACAAACAACACCTCATCCACCTCACAGAACACCTCATCCACTACACAGATCGCCTCATCCACTACACAGATCGCCTCAAACACCAAACACAGATCGCCTCATCCACCTCACAGATCGCCTCAGCCACCACACAGAACACCTCATCCACCACACAGATCGCCTAAAACACCAAACACAGATCGCCTAAAACACCAAACACAGATCGCCTCATCCACCTCACAGATCGCCTCATCCACCACACAGATCGCCTCATCCACCACACAGGACACCTCATCCACCACACAGATCGCCTCATCCACTACACAGATCGCCTCATCCACCACACAGATCGCCTCATCCACCACACAGATCGCCTCATCCACTACACAGATCGCCTCATCCACTACACAGATCGCCTCATCCACCACACAGATCGCCTCATCCACTACACAGATCGCCTAAAACACCAAAAATAGATCGCCTCATCCACTACACAGATCGCCTCATCCACCACACAGATCGCCTCATCCACCACACAGATCGCCTCATCCACCACACAGAACACCTCATCCACCACACAGATCGCCTCATCCACTACACAGATCGCCTCTTCAACCACACAGATTGCCTCATCCACCACACAGAACACCTCATCCACCACACAGATCGCCTCATCCACTACACAGATCGCCTCATCCACCACACAGAACACCTCATCCACCACACAGATCGCCTCATCCACTACACAGATCGCCTCATCCACCACACAGATCGCCTCATCCACCACACAGAACACCTCATCCACCACACAGATCGCCTCATCCACCACACAGATCGCCTCTTCCACCACACAGATCGCCTCATCCACCACACAGATCGCCTCATCCACCACACAGGACACCTCATCCACCACAATGATCGCCTCATCCACTACACAGATCGCCTCATCCACCACACAGATCGCCTCATCCACCACACAGATCGCCTCAAACACCAAACACAGATCGCCTCATCCACCACACAGATCGCCTCATCCACCACACAGATCGCCTCATCCACCACACATATCGCCTCATCCACTACACAGATCGCCTCATCCACTACACAGATCGCCTCATCCACCACACAGAACACCTCATCCACTACACAGATCGCCTAAAACACCAAACACAGATCGCCTCATCCACTACACAGATCGCCTAATCCACTACACAGATCGCCTCATCCACCACACAGATCGCCCCATCCACTACACAGATCGCCTCTTCCACCACACAGATCGCCTCATCCACCACAGAGATCGCCTCATCCACTACACAGATCGCCTCATCCACCACACAGATCGCCTCATCCACCACACAGATCGCCTCAAACACCAAACACAGATCGCCTCATCCACCACACATATCGCCTCATCCACCACACAGATCGCCTCATCCACCACACATATCGCCTCATCCACTACACAGATCGCCTCATCCACTACACAGATCGCCTCATCCACCACACAGAACACCTCATCCACCACACAGATCGCCTAAAACACCAAACACAGATCGCCTCATCCACTACACAGATCGCCTCATCCACTACACAGATCGCCTCAACCAACACACATA